ATTCAAATTTTCATTTTCAAATTTTTGAAAAATTTAGGACTTTTGTTACTGGGGTATTCTTTTCTTCTAAATAATTCAAACGTATTAGAAACATGGAGAAAAAACCCACTCGGTGACGCGGAATGGACTCTATGACGAATAATTTACTCAAATTCATTTCTTTATATTTTCATCTTTTTCGTTTGATTTTGGCCACCTACGACATTGGTATCGTTTTACGATTTTTTAATGCAACCTACGGTATTTATTTTCTTATTTTGCAACTGTTTTGTACTATTTACCAATTTTTTATTGGCTGAAAACCTTCCTTTTTTGGAAATGGTCGACAATTCATGCGCGCGTGGATGTCATCCATATTACCGAATTAACATGGCCTAAGTGGCGACCATGACTGAATTGTTCAGCCAGTATCGACGGAGCACAGCAGGTTCGCAACGACGCATCGCACATCATTACATAAACATTCATATCTAACTCGAACCATTCGTAGTATCTAATGAACAGCCCCTTAAACCACCTTGTTCAAGGTCGAGACGTACAACTTTCAGTCTGTATTCTGTATTACTCCGCGTGTATACAAAATAGTTCGACCAAAAATGACCAATAACTCTCCCTCCTCCAAGGAGCTTTAAATGTTGATTTTTGACCTCCTTGTTTCCATTGACACTTACTTTTCTTTCAAACATCTGAGATAGGAGCGTGCAATTAATTGTTCATTGCTGACTGGAGTAGTTAGAATGTGAGAGGTCAGATGTGCATGCATAATGTAGGCTTTGTTGTGCTGAGTGCAGCGTTGAGGGCCTCTTGTGGGTTAGTTCCTACCTCAAGTTATACAAGCCATATAAAACACCGTTATGACATCCAATGCAGTTTCAGGGCGGCAGAACGAAATTTAAATTTTCAAAGTCAATTTTCTGGTCAATCCTATGGCCTTAAGCATACTGATATCTATCGAAATGCGATACCGATGTTACAGCTTGCTTTGCATCTTAGGGTGGTTCTGGCTACATGTACATATGAGCGGTACCCCCAAAAGACTCGACTGATATTTAGCTTGCTGTTTCAAATGCTTCAAGCTATTATGAAATAATGACGAAATGGCGACCTTGTGCTAAAACATGTCAGTAAATGTCAGTCATTTACTCGATCATCCATAATATTTGTTTTTATATTTTGCCTCCCTGAAATTGCATTGATTGCCTTTAAATGGATAGATTTTGGAGAAAATCCCTTCACGTAATAATTAATAAATGGCAGATCGATGTTCTTCCCATGTGAAGGGAATAGACATTTCTATGAAGACAATACTCGTTTATGAGATATGCGTACATATCTAGCTCCTGTATATCATGATCAAGAGGAGCTGAACACAAACTTGGGGGCCTGCATGGGGGGGGGGGGCAGTCCCGACAACGCTCTGCGCTAAATTTTGAGATCTCTCGATTACGCTTTACGATAAATTCCAAGTGGCTACAACGCATTACGTGGCATTAAAGTGGCGAATATACTCTACGCAAAATGCGCCAATTACGCTCTACGTTGAATTAGAGCGGTCCGTCTACGCTACGTAGAATCAAAACGGCCGATTACGCTCTACGGAAAAGGGCATGCGGGCCCCCAAACATGTAAAACGTCAAACATGGAGGGTTGTATGCAGCAGAGGACGTTGGCTGCGAAGAGAGAGATCAGCCGGCCCACCCAAAAACAAATGGTTGCGTTCAGATTCCCCAAACCGTATAGTAGAGCAACCGTCTCACTAGCATGTGGTGTGGTCTGCCAAAAAAAAATCTTACTCTGTATGACTGTAGACAGATGTTTACCTGGGCTGTCACAGGTATAAAGGCAGTAGAGCGACTCTGGCTTCTAAGAAGAAACATACTTGGATGGACTTCCTGAATTGAAGCGTTCAGAGACTTCAGACAGTAAAATGCACAAAGAAAGCAAGACATGTAGTTTACCTGTTGGGTTGGCATCTTGTGCAGAAACAGAAGTGATCGCCAAGAGAGCCGAAGCGACTAGAGGAAACACCGCCCAAGCCATGCCGCCTGACGGTGTAGAATCCAAACTGTAAAGTACTTTGTATGCGTCTCACTCACGGGATCAAGAACGGGGGCGCGAACTCTCAAAAATAATGGGGGACGAAAATAAAGGCCAAACTTTCATTCCCATTCGTCCACATGACAGGACAATAACGAAAACTAGTTCTGGGAACACATATGCATGCCTTCGCCAAGTAAAAGCGGCCATGTTGATTTGATTATATGGATGACATCCGCGCGCGCATGAATTTTCGGCCGTTTCAAAAAAATGTTTTCAACCATACTGTAAATCGGATAGTACAAAACAGTTGCAAACTGAGCAATATATACCGTAAGTTGCAAAAAAATATATTTCCAAACCACACCAATATCGTAAAATGACAAAATCAAACGAAAAAGACGAAAATGTAAAGAATGAATTTGAAGAGTAAATAATTCGCCATACCATACTCTTTGTCATTTGTTCAACCTTCATGACCACGTAGATTTCATGATGAAAGCAACTTTTTCAGCCAAACTTTTTTTTATTCGCACGCTCGCTTCAGTTTTGGGGTTCCCAGTGGATGCCATCCATATAATCAAAATCAAAATGGCCTCATTATAAAACGCCTTCCTATATCATCAACAACTGTTACTGTAGGTTACTTTGTATGCGCCTCACTCACGGGAGCAGGAATAGGGGCACGAACTAATTATGCCACATCAAGCAATTTTATGGATGACATCAGTGCACCTTGTTTTCAGGACTGGGTAATCATTGGCAGTACAGCAACGCTTCCTAACAGGTGGAGTTTGAACTGCAGCCCCCTTGATGGCGAGATGTTACTCATGTTAAGTCGGACTCCGTCCATGCCCAGGGGATGTGGGGGAGGGGAAGGGGCAGATGGAAGCCCCAGGGCTGGGGGACCGACCCGGGGCAGCCCCAGGAGGAGAACATAATGGACCATGTACCCACCCGCACCCTCTTGTCAAGCGACAATGTCATGAGCAATACCTGGGACAAAAGGACGGATGTTGGCAGAAGAGCGCAGCCCATCCGTGTCCTTGTTATACGACAGGTGGCAGGTACGCGAGGGCGTGTCTTTATAATATATAAACCAACTGTCCATCTATCTATCTATCTATCTACCCTCTCCTCTCTCTCTCTCTCTATATATATATATATATGGCCAAGATATCTATATGTGTGTGTGTGTGTGTTTGTGTGTGTGTGTGTGTGTGTGTGTGTGTGTGTGTGTGTGTGTGTGTGAGTGTGTTTGTGTGCGTGTGAAATATCAAAAGATCCATTCATAACTTCCTGAGTTGACCTCCATACCCACACCAAATTTAAGCTGCTCCACCAAGCTCAAACCGAAAACATATCATCTGACAAAGGCAATAGACAGCACATGCTGAATGATGTTCATTTATTTGATTTGCTTTATTCTTACACATATGAATCGATGTATTGTTCTCCATAAAATCCGCTGACAGCTCTTGTATAGGTATAATGATTGAGCTACAGCTTCACGATTAACAGTGGGATGTGTTTCACTCACGTGACTATGACGTAAGTATCGTCCGCCATGTTGGATGGTTAAAACCAGTATTAAAGATGTGGCCGGGAAACGCTGAGTCTGTGGATGTAACTACAGTCACTTATAGTAAAACGTTGTGAACTTTATTCCAACACACAATTTACGGACAGATCAAATTTCCAGCGACCACTGTCGCCTTCATCAGTATAATTAATGACCACACTGCACGAGGCATAATACACGTGTAGTTGACTCTTGATTATTCAACATGGCGGACAATACCTACGCCCTAATCACGTGAGTGCAAAGACCCTATAATTATGACAGTCACCTCACCGTGAGGCAGTGTCCTTACTCTCCAATCAGAGGTTTGGGTTTTGGGTTATTTTTGGCGTGTTTTTAGACTTTTTTATCGTTTTTTTTTCACTGAATTTTTCTTTCACTCAAGAAAAATTCCCATTAAAAATTCCAGTGTAAAAAGAAGCCCCGATTAAGAAAAGGCTAAAAACACGCCCGAAAATAACCCAAAACCCAAACCTCTGCTTGGAGAGTAGTGTCCTTACGACTACTCATATTAGTCAAGTAGAACATCGACTTCATAGCATCTTATAGCTCCATCGATAATTTGATACGCCAAACGATAGTCAATAGTTTGGAAGCATCTTTGGCGTTTTTTTAGGTCATGGTTCTTCCAACTGGTCCCACGCTGGTTCCAACTGGTCCCAACTGGTCACTCCCACGACCAGACGGTCCGCCGGCTACATGGAGGATCTCGCTCAAACGTTTGTGTCGTCATCACGCTGCCCGGCTGATTTCCCCGACGATGCTGCATCAGGCTGCTGAGGTGACAGGGGGAAAGGTAAAATCATAGCATCTTCAGAACAAAAGATACAAAAACTGAAAATGCTGCTTCAGTACCAAGGAGAGCCCCGGCCCTACAGGGGGCCCAAAATCTCCAGATGTGAGGCCACTCTATCCATGCACCAAATATCATTAATAATTTCCATTCTGGATGCAACAGGGCACAACAATTTAGAAAATTAAGCTAACATTGCACACTTTTCTTCTCAAAACTACGACGTACGGCGGTATCATTGCGACCGAAAAAAAAAAACAAAACAAACGACAAGCATGTATGTGCATTGTATAATGTATGTGACCTTCAGATATTCCCCAAGCAGATGCTTGAAATATCGTGGCGTTTTCTATCATGGAACGTGCGAGAGATTTAGACAGCCAGGATCTTGATCTTTTCACCCACCATCTGCTTCAAGACTATCCATGTCCTTATCTTAAACCTTAAGAAGCACCGTGTATTCAACGGATGATGAAAACATTGCAACGATCTTTTCTACAGGTACTTTCGTGATGACCATATAATATTTACACAATATTCATCATCAATACACATACAAATAAAGAGAGGGACACAAAAATCTCACTACTAGTAATTTTGTAATCTATAATTGAGCAGCATTGAAGAGGACGTTCTGTTGAGACTTACCTTAGCCCTGCGCTTGTCCCATTTCACCTCGATTCCCATGATGCACAGCGCCAAGATGGCGGCCACAACAAGCTCGATGAACACCGGCATGAGGTCCGAGGTGGTCAGCCTCTGAAAACTGGCAGGACGGGTCTTCGCAAAACTGTCGGGCGGAGTGCACTCCCCGGAAGTCTGCAAACATGACAGTTATTTTTGTTTTTGTAGATTGTTGTTGTATTGAACCCTGTGTTTCGTTAGGTAGTCTCTAAACTCAGATACTCTCAGGGATCCATCAAACGTGAGGCTCGCGTTTGATCATGGAGGTAACTAAAATCATGGTTGATAAACAAGTGTTGACAGTCTACGGTGCCCATCGGACATGAGTACCCAGTGTGTTATTGTAGCTACCCATGATGGTTTAACAAGATCTTTTCTAGTTAATTAAGATGCATATTCATCTAGAACGACTGGTTACTTTTGAATACAGGAATACAATATATGCTGGTCGAGGTGGAAAGAAAGAAAAGCACAATGTCCGTCACACTTACAACCCATTTCCTGTACAGGAAGTGCAGTCTGCCACTCTCCCTCAGCTGCATGATGGCGATGTTGATCACCTCCCTGAAGGGAGACCCCACCGGCAGTCCGATAGCCAGGTACCTTGTCGATTCGGTGTTGCCGTCGTGGATGGCCATCAGATCACACGGCTTCCGGTTGCTGTAGAATTGGGAAATGGTTGCCTCGCTGATGAAGGCCACTCCTCCCCTGCGCACGAGCTCCAACCCCTCATCCGTGGAGCTCACCCGAATCGCCCTCTGATAGAGACGTTGGAAGGACGGAAAGCTCTTGAAATACACTTCGGTTGCTCCTCCGCCGTAGAAGGCCGGCCGTATGCCGTCTGTTGCCGCCAGATCATCGAAGGACTCGATGGGGGCCACGGATAAAGCGACAGGACTGGCTAGGAAGAACCCTGCGATGGCGCCTGTGATCAGGATGAGTGTCCAGACGATGAAGCCGAACCAGAAGACGAAGAGAAAGCGCCCGGACACCGATCGGGGCGAGTAGTCCACCCCCTGCCAGCTCATCGCGCTGTAGCAGATCCACAGGCTGTGCCCGAAGGTAGACAGTCGGCTCGCCTCGCCGACCTCTGCCGAGTACGCCCGATTCTCGTACGGACTGACCCGAATGATGACGAACATGACGATGGCGGCCAGGAGAAACGACCCCATGACCACCAGCCATACGGGAATGGGCATGATATCTGTCCACAATGGCCAAAATTCCTTTCTTGCGGTCTAAAAGATAAGAAAACACAGAATAATCTAACAAATTTAGATTTTATGTTTCCAGGGGCGTTCGTCTCTTTCCATCTCTCTCTCTCTCTCTTTCTCTCTCTCTCTCTCTCTCTCTCTCAAGCTAGGGTCACGAAATTAGAATGATAGGTAGCTCTTGTGCCAGGAAAGAATTGACGTGAGTATGATCTCCCTGGCCTAGCAGCTTGCTCTGGACCTGCAGGGGCGTTTGTTGACAATTATATATCTAGACTAAAGGATGATGACTCAAGAACCGATTGATGGATCGTCATTTTTTGTATGTAGGTAGCTTAAAATTGATGCTTGACATAATGAAGCGTAGGTGATGCTTCATGAAACATTTAAGCAAATCTCGGTGTAATTTACATAATTAATGAATAGATTCTTTAAATCAGCTGCATTTCATGATAGGAATTATAAAGGTTAGCATAATTTGGCGAAGGCATGAGGTCGCGGAACTCTAATGAGTAAAATGAAACTGATAGCAATATCCCTTTATGACATTAAATTGACCGCAATTACACGTTCAAAAACTGTCAAATGTGTGGTAAGTCAACGAGCGTTTCAGGTGTCTGTATCTCTCAAATTATACCTAGCTATCAATTGACGGACGTACAAGTATTAACTGATTATTGTTTGCTTCTAAAGGTTTTTAGTAGAGTAGATAGACTCGTGCTTTGTGTTGTAATAAAGTTTAGTATAATGTACTATGATAATAATATACCGACCGGAGGTTTCTTGACCAACATCTCCAGTCGTTCGTCCACCACCACGGCGCTAAAGTCGATGACTCTTTCCCTCCTGGAGGTGATAGTCAACCCCAGAGCCATGTCTAGTTCCTGTAAGGACGTTAATATTTATTCATTTATTTATTTATTCGTTCGGCTGTAAAAAGACAAATTGTACAGCCAGGGCAGCCCAATTGTAAGGGCTTGCCCTGCTGACAAGACAAACATTGACATGCACGATACAACAATACAATACATTAACGTGGAGAGGTCAGGGTCATACACCTAAGGCTTATAGGGGTCGCCTAGAGAGTCCCATAGCTTTCGTTTGAAGGAGGCAATAGTGGTGGCAGTGCGAGCGTCAGTGGAAAGAGTGTTCCAGAGTGACGTTGCTCGATGAAAAAATGTTCTCTGGCCTCTGGTGGTTTTGGCAAGTTCAACAGTCAGTCGGTTGCTGTTCCTGAGGGGATAGCGAGACTCAGTAGCAGATGCACGGGTTCTGGGTATCAGGGTTTGGAGGTGTGGCGGACAGTGGCCGTTAAGGAGCTTGTACAGGGTGGTGACTGTATGGAATCTCCGTCTGAACTGACGTGATGGAAGGGACAGTTGGGTGTACAAGGTTTGGTAGGAGGGATAAGGGAGTCCATGTTGTCCACTGATCAGTCTGACGGTTTGGTATTGTACAGACTCCAGTTTCCGTTCGTCACTCTTGGTAAGTCCCGCCCAGACGATGTTGGCATACTCAAGGCCAGGTCGTGTAATGGTCTTATATAGCCTGAGTAGCATGTCACTTGGCACCTTCTTTCTTAGTGCACACAGTAGGCCAGCAGATCGTCTTGACTTGGTGGAAATTGTATCGATGTGCTTGGACCAGGAGAGTGTGTTCGTTAAGGTGACACCTAGATGTTTGTAACTAGCCACAACTTCCAGGGTAGTTCCACCCAGAGTGACTGGTACATGGGGCCTTGGGATGTTGCGAGTTGTGATGTACATCACCTTGCACTTATCCCTGTTTGCTTCGAGTTTCCACTGTGTGAGCCAGTTTGATACAGAGCACAGGTGACTACATGCAGGATTGACCTGTTACCGGTGGACAGTGAGGTATCGTCAGCGAACAAGTTTGGAGAACACTGTGTACAACAATATGTTAAGTCTTTGACATACAGGATGAACAGGCTGGGCCCAAGAACGGACCCTTGGGGGACGCCGGCAAGGGGCGATTTCCATTCGGATGTTCCGCCCTGAATAACCACACGTTGTCGCCTTTCGGACAGATAACTGTGGAACCATTGGAGGATAGGTCCGCGTATTTCGTGGGCACATAGTTTGGCAAGGAGACCTTTGTGCCAGACCTTGTCGAATGCTTTCTTCAGGTCAAGGAAAACATCCCACGACTTCCCCTCTGTCCATTGCCCTGGTCCATTCATCTACCAGGCGGGCCAGTTGTAGCGTGGTGTTGTCCTTGGTCCTGAATCCGCTCTGGTGACAATATCGGAGTGATTTGTTGCATTAGGTGTTTATTTAGTAGTGGTTCCAGTACTTTTGGGACTGTGTTGAGCAGAGAAATTGGTCTGTAGTTATTTGCATGGTGGCGGTCTCCGGCCTTGTAGATACGCGTTACATTAGCCTCTTTCCAACCAGAAGTGACTTGTCCGAAGGTAAGTGATGTGTTAAAGAGCAGTGTCAGGGGTGCAGATATGGTGTCTGATACCTGTCTTATAGGAGGTATGGAGTAATATCATCCGGGCCGCATGATTTTCCAGTCTTTAGGGTTTTGAGTTGCTAAGGACGTTTATAACAAAGTCATTGGCATCAGCACCAACATTGATATGATAGATTTGAACAATTACTGTGTAGTGAGGGGCGTCCCTAGATGGAGAGACAACCTAGATCGACAACTTGGTCCTACATAGCCAAAAACTACTACTTTATCCTGGGTGCCTGACTGGCCAGCGACATTAGGGAGCGGGCGGAAACTACGGAGTTCATACCTACTCCATCTACTCAGCTGCCTTACTAGCCTGGTTGCCAGACCCATAGCACACTGGACACAAAGTACGTCACTGAGATAGTTTGTGTTGAGTGTGCTATGGGTTTCGCACCCAGGCTACTGCCTTACCCTTCTGACAAGCTCCCCGACCATGCCAGTCCAGGTCCCGTCCTCCCGCAGGTACCCGTACTTCATGTCGGCAGGTTCCTTGATGACGAAGTCGAAATCGATGAGGTCCGACAGTTCCGTCATGAGGTCCACATGGAACCCCTCGAACGTCCCATCTTCTCTCTTGTGCAGGAACCCGGGGTGCTGATGGGAGGAAACAGTATGGCAGAAGGTGAATACATCCAAGCAAACAAAAAACAGCCTTTTTTGGCGACGTCTCAGGGAGGAGCCTAATGGTACAGTATTTTGTGCAGTTTGCAAGAATTCTAGGAATGGTACAGGCATTTTGTCCACAGGAATGGAATGTCCACAGGCTTCAGACTCTGACCCACATCTATGTCCACATTCCTGGAAACCCTTCGAAAGACCTCTCTTCCCCGGATGGCCCTACTTTCTGTGACCCCGGGGCTCGTTCACTATACACTCAGGGGAGGAGTGCGCTATATCTGTCTAGATTTACAGGTACCAAGTCTTACTCAAAATCATGAAATGATTGCAGTGCCATGCAAACAATAACCCTAACACCAACCACTGTCGCCATGGCAATGTATGTTTTCAGTGCCAGATTTGTTCTTGGTGTACACAAGATAAATGCTGGCATTTTCCAGCTGGAGAGTTATTTCTCTTTCTATTTTGTTGAAAAAATCTTACTTTTAGTCTTGTCTTGTTTTGGCTACCTGGTAGACCTCTAAAAGTAACGCCATGTTGTTCTCAATGTGTTTTGGTGGTGTACAGGAAGGGGGGGGGGTCAGAGGTGTCAACTTCACAGTATTTCCATCCATCGTACTTATTTTTGCTGATTAACAAATGTGATTTTTGGATCAATAGACGATTTGGAGGATGGATTACCCTGTTTGCATTTAGTTGAACCCTCCAGTAGGTAATTTTTGCCAGCTCATTTATAAGAATGATGTTTGCCATATTTTTCGTTTGGAGCTTGAATTGTTGGTCTGTGGCCAGGAACACAAGGAGCTGGTCTTGATTGTGGCTTTACGTCATTAAAAATACATTCAAACCGTGACGGGGGCCGATATTAGCCTCCACCAGGCCTTTCTACGGGAATACGGATCGTCGAATTTGGCAAAAAGAGAGTAAAAATTGGCCAAGGAAATCTGGCCGCGGGGAGACAGTTTCTTTTCCTGGCGACCAGTCAAACCTGCAAGGCGGCAAAACTCCCTTGGCAAATATTCTCCTATATATAGCCAGCGTAGTTAGTCTGGAAGAGACTAGGCCGATATCGCCTGTTGGGGAATTACGAATCATTCCTCGGGTTCCAAAGGCTATGTGCTCAGAGTAAATGAATCATAGTTACAGAAGTAGGGCGACGTGAGCGCTGGTCTAGAGTGGGGTACGCCATGTACGTTGTTTTTGACAGAGGTGCAGGGACGAACTGCATTGTACGTTACAACTGTAATGCAATTATGGTATACATGAATAAAAAAGAGAAACTTTACATCAATGGCGCCCACAATAACTGATGTCCTGGGACCTGCAAAACATGTAAAAATATCAAGTTAAAGATTTCAGACTTCTTTGAACAGGGAACACGATTGTAATCTCTACTAAATATCTTTTAACATAGTTGTTGTTGTTGTTGAAACTTATGCTCCATCTTGGATGCTTTTGGTCTAGAATGAACAGGTGTGGTCTTGAAGATTACTACTATTACTACTACTGCGCGCGCACTGATTTTAGCCTGTTCTGAAAAAAAGATCCTCTGAGGCTCTGGCCTGGCTCTAGGCCTGGGTAGTCCATGGTAGTTAGCGACAAAACGGAGACGGTGGTAACTCTGGAGGATGGCACCCAGGCTACTGAAGCTCCACGACTCAAGAACAGTGCCCATTCATAAATTCCGTAAAAGCCAGCATGTGTCGGCTTGGCGTATACGTTGCTATGTTCTACCGCTAATTCGCACTACCTGCTTTGTATTCCTGTGATTTAGTTACATTTTTATTTTTGGCCGGATTTTTTTTATTCGCCAGAGCGCACTAGTTTGGGGGTCTTCAGAGGATGTCATCCATAAAATTAAGTCGGTGTGGCCTTATTGTTGTTGCAGTGACCGTCAGTTGCAGGGATTCCGTTGAGGATTAGTTCTCTGAGCCATGGCTGCCAACCCGCAGCACGGTCGGTGTCCATGGTAACGGTCAAATTCTTGGTGCTGGGTCGTTTATCCTGCACATACGGAATGGACGGACTCAACATTCTCTTTGGCCATGTTGATTTGATTATATGGATGACATCATCCGGGAACCCCAAAACTGATGCGAGCGTACGAATAAAAAAAAATTGCAAAAGAAAAAAGTTGTTTTCATTATGAAGTCTACGTGGTCATGAAGGCTGAACAAATCACACAGAGTATGGTATGGCAATTTACTCTTGAAATTCATTTCTTTACATTTTCGTCTTTTTCGTTTGATTTTGGCATTCTACGACATGAAGGCTTGACTATCGTTTCCAGAACCGAACTTACGATGAATGTTTTGTACCTACTACACGTAGTTCCATGCCAAAATTGGTCGATTCTGGACAGTATTCCGCGTATCCAAGAACTCAGCAACTCTTGATGCACGTGGTCTAATAATAATGATTCCAGAAACGAGCCTGGGCGTGGTTCTGGGTAAAAACACGGTTCTGGATACAACCGGCCGTGCCACTGGTCAGAGTGCGGGGCGCTGTGAGGTCCTCTACGATGTACCCAAATGTTCGGAGCTACTTTAAAAACATCCGAACATGCATGTTGACGACGAGGTATATCGAGTCCACATGATTGTATTCTGTACACGTATTGATCAATGAAGAGATAGTGAAGAGAATATAGTAATAATGAATGTTTTTTGATGAACTACTACCGCCGGTTGGTACAGCTTCACTGGGCATTACACACCACAAAGAACTACTGTAATAAAAAAAAAAAACACATACTCGCCGCAACAGGTCTACTTGTCAATGCCAAAGAAGAAAAGTTACAGAGGTTTCGGACATTTGTCATCAAGGGCAAAGGGAACTCTTTCAAACACAATACACCAAGGGCAGGCGGAAGGCGTGTGGTCGAGAGGACGTCTACCTCTACCAAGCTTCGGGAAGCGGATGGATTTAAGAAAGCAAATTGGCCACTGGATAGACAGATAACATGCCGTGAGGGAAGTTGGTTCATTCTTTTTGGAGCGACAAACTGTACTGTTCAGCGGACCAACTCGCATGCCATGTTATATCTTTCTATTTGGCCAGTTTTTACTATTTCCAGCCGCTTCTCGAAGCTGGTAGAGGCTACAGACTTTAGGCTGTCAGGAGTGGACAGGAAAAACAACAAACCAGCTGGCCAAATTTCCCGTAGACCGCCAGAGGTGGTAGATTGTTTACTGACAGGCATGTTTCCCCCACGGCACGGCTCCGTGAACTACTGAACTGAGAAATTACGAGATCACTAAACTCCTACCAAAACGTTAACTCACCATAGATTTGGAAATTATGAAGGAAAATTCATCCTTAGAAAAAGACGAGAAGCTTACCTGTAGCGTTGGTCCCTTGCGCGGAGACGGAACAGGAAACGCTGAGAACAGACCCGACCAGGAGGTACACCGCCCAAGCCATGTCGTCTGGCAAGGACTCCAAGTACCTCTCTTTCTGCTGTGTGAGTCGATTTATACGTGCCACACCTTACAAACCGCACATGACTCCCCACCAAGAGGGTCTGTATGTCCTTCGTAAGGCGTAATCGGGCCTTCTTAACCTTCGTAATCCGTCGGCACCTGCCCCCAAATCATCGTACATCAGTACATTAATTAACCGTAACGTGTAATTGTCCGTAATCAGCTCTGAAAATTTGACGTAATTCGTAATCGGTAGCGAAAATTTTGCGTCATTCGTAATCACTACACCCCCATGCAGGCCCTCCACCGCGACTACCCCGGCCAGGCTTGTTCTGCCTCAGTCAGCGATCTGCCGCGTCAATCAGGCTGGACGCAGATCAGCTTCTCATGACCTCTGGGCGTTGATCGTTTCAAGTCGCCCCCACGCTGTGTTTCGGCGACTTTTTCCAACCTTCTCCCTTGAATTACGAGGTCCCCCTGTCAACGCGAATGCCCCGAGAACGACCATTGTGTCAAGGCCGCGCCATAGCCTGCCAATCATCGAAAATGAGGAGAAAGATCCTGTTTGATCGAGGGGCCTTAAATTAGGGTGTTGAGTGCTTGATGTGGTAGTAACGAGTTTCGTTTCAACAGCGAACTTAAAGGGGCATAATGTAACATTTTTTTCACCAAAAAATTTGAAATATTTTGATTGTAATTTACTATTTTTTTCGACATATTTGTGTAACTGTCTCACTTTTCTGATATTTATGGTTGGCCCAAAAACTCAAATGTTAACAAGAATTCTGAGATTTCATACCTCCATTAAATATGTAGAGTTTACGTAATAAGGTGGCAATTGATATAATGTAGTTTTATGGTGTTCTAAACTCAATTTACAATATTTTGTGTGTCAAACTCCTATCCTTTGGCAATATTTCATTTAAACATCCTCATTTCAACTTCCTCATTAATTATGCAAATTGCCTCTATATTAACATAATATATGCATAGTGTTGGTAACAATTAAGTAACCTACACATATCACAAGGTATTGAATTGCCATCATTCACCATTAAGAAATCATATAATTTTCGCATTAATTATGCAAATTAGGTCATCATTTTCATAATTGGTATCTGTTGACGTTCTATCTGCCATAGATTACATATCTTAAATGTATGAAGGTACTATAATGTAAAACACTGTATTTATAGAATTTCCTCCATTTGGCCTCCATGCAGACCCATGCACACCAAAGCAATAGACAGCACATGATCAATGGCCTGATAATTTATTTGATTCGATTTGTATTGCTCTCCATAAAAATCCGCTGACAGCTCTTGTATAGGTAAAATGATTGAGCTACAGCTTCACGATTAATAATGAGATGTGTTTCACTCACGTGACTATAACGTCACAGAAGTATCATTCGCCATGCTGGATGGTTAAAACTAGATGTTGCCAGGAAACTCTAAATCTGTTGATGTAACTACAGTCACATATAGTAAAACGCTGTGAACTTTATATCAACACACAATTTACAGAGAGATCAAATTTTTAGGGTCCACTGTT